GTATGGGTTTTACTGCGTCTAAATTAAAGAGAAAAGGACCCAGGGCCATTCGTCTGGGGGAGGATATCTGTCCTGATAAATGTCGCACTGAGATCAACTATGATATTTCAAACCCAACACATCATAGAGAGAGAGAGAGAGAGAGAGAGAGAGAGAGAGAGAGAGAGAGAGAGAGAGAGAGAGAGAGAGAGAGAGAGAGAGAGAGAGAGAGAGAGAGAGAGAGAGAGAGAGAGAGAGAGGAGAGATATACGTGTGGCTTGTGTGTGCATAGTACAAGTAAGTGCATACTTGATCAACCTAAAATGGTTGATTCTCTTCATTTATATAGCTGTGGGCTGGATGTGGCACAAACAGCTACAGCTCACAAGAAGACAATATCAGAATTCTGATCAATGCACTATCCTGCGCAGATGCCTGAATGAAGATATTGGAGTCTAGACAGCCCTGTCCTGCATAGCACTGGCCATGAAAGCAGACTGTGCTAGCCTAGAGAGCACACTGTTAAGCACACCAAGTGGGCTCTAGGGTTGTGTTTGAAAATGCTTCACTACAGACACGGAATGTGATGCTCTACTATGTATGCTTCTACACAGGGGTACAACTTTGGTTTTAGAAGTGGGGGAGACATAACTATTATTTTTTTCATCCAGTCAGATAAACACTCCAAACAGCCTACCTGACAGCTCAGAGACGTCTTCATGGTCCTAAAGGGGGGGGGGGGGGGGGGTGCAATTTCAGAATGTCCCCCCCCCCCCCCCAATCCCCAGTGAAAGTTGCGCCCCTGCTTCTACATAATCTTTAAAGGCCCACTTTTCTGAACAAGCTTAGCTTAATTTGTCAAGATTCAAAATATACAATCTGATTCCTCTACATACAACAACCTCTGTTGTACTGATACTATGGTATTTCAATGGGACAGCTCATGTGTAATAGATGTCTTGTGTGGCAGAGGTCCTTGTATGATAAGGTATCCTACTCACAGGAGTCACTGAGAGATGGGGGGGGGGGGGTCCACTCGGCTCCTGGCAGTGGCTCCATAACACCAGCTCAAGGTCTCCTCATGCTGATGGTGGAATAACTTCAGTTTGCTGTCAATGGAAACGCACTGAATGACCCTGAGTGCATCAATCATGTCCATGCATTACATTCAGACCCTCGTGAATACAGTAGGGTATTATATCATTACGGGCTGTGATGAAGAGTATTTTATTTTCTCCAATAAATAAACTGAAATATTTGTAGTGTATGAGCAAATAGCCTAGTTTGTGACTTGCATTTGCATAAAGAAACACACTTCAACATTACATACTACAGAGATATTTTTAAACAGTAAAGCAACAATCGAGCATGAACTACAAAGTAACATGTTCTGCGTTCTTCATAATACAGAAATTGACCAAAATTGCTACATTTTGAGTCACACGAATTGACAAACATGACCCTCTGCCTCCATCTGCTGGTAAAAAGAGTAACTTACAGCCAGACTGAGAAATTGAAAAATAATGTTTATCTAGCTACTTTCTCTGCTGGGAACATGACTGGATCATCAAGGACCTCAGCCACCGGAGCCACGGCCTGTTCTTCCTGATTCCATCACTCAGACGCGGGCAGTATATCATGACAAAAACTGTCAGACTGGCAAATATCTTCTACCCCAAGACCATCAGGCTGCTGAATAGCCACGACTTGCGGCCCCCCGTACCCTGCAACTACATCTCTACCCTGTGCTTGGGTTTCCACTAGTTACCACAGCAACAAAGTCAAAATGCCGAGGTTTATTACTTTGTGGCTGTGATAACTAGTGACGACCCTGTGCATGTGACTAAACGAATCAAATCCAGAGAGGAAGAGGTAAAGAGAGGCCCAACTCGCCGGAAAATCTCTCACTCCAGCAGATGGAGTTTTTTTCTTCCCACCAAGCAAGGAGTTTGTTTGGAGTGTCGAACAACAAAAGAATAGTGGCTTATTTGCTACGTGAGGTTTATTTTAATTAATTGAAGTTTCGTAATGCTTAGGTTGTTACGAGTGTGCCAATATAAGTAGGACACGTGACATCCCCTCACTTTGAGATGGCTACGCATGAGGCTAGTAGTAAAAGTGTCTCTCTCTTCATTGAAAACAGACGGCTGACGTCAACAACTCTCATCGAATATTCAAATATTTATTAAAATAATGAGATGTATCCACCAATCCAAAGAAAGAATAGGCGGGAGCTAGAAAACCTGCCGTTCCACTTTGTGGACAACGACTACCATAGTTTGAGCGGAGAGACAAGTATCTTGTCAGTATATCCGCAATCTTTATCTAATTAATTTTAGGAAGGTGTTCGTGTGTCGCGCGCATATTATCTGTTGTGCCCATGAAAACTGCGACAACGTCTCGTTTTAATCACCTTTTGTTGCAACAAATTAAAACGGTTGAAATAATAAGAACAGTCATCAAATTCGCAAGTATTAATCACAAACTCCTCAATTAAACACTCCCGCTTCACAACGACGCCATCTTGGTCCATGTTTTGCCCTTCGAAAACTTCCAGACGTTATGGGATGTGTAATCTTCGTCATATCACGTTTACCCAATCATATTTGGTGTTATTACCCGCTTAGCCAATACAAAATTAGATTGTACAACCCTGAAAAGAATAGTCCATCAGCTCTAAATAGCAAACCGCAGCTTGTGTAGATCTATAAACAACATGAACCCACTCATACCTATAACAATGAGTGACTTGGCCCATTGCATATATTGGTTTATCTGTAATCTGCGCAGATGCCACGTTTACATGTCCACTTCAATTTCAACGTGTCAACTAGCTACAGCATGAGAGGATATGGATGTGCAGCTAACCGAATCGTGATGATGTTATGATAGTACAGCTGTTCAGAGCATAGTATTCTGATATGCACGTGCATGGATAAATACCCATTAAATATATTGTCGCTAAATTAAGGAAATAATGTTTAGGCAGAGTAAAACAGTTCTCCAGAAACTTCGATATCTAAGGTGAGTATACGTTAGCTAGCGAGCTAGCCCTTGATCATGACTCGGTTACATCACGTTGCACACATAATGTTAGGATCCTTATGAGTATATCTCACGGCCGGCGCCAGAACAAATCCGTTGGACGGGCATTTGATTTCCATAGGGGGGATGTTTTTTTTACGGGACCTTCTATGTGGATATAGGTTATAGCCTCGTGAAACACCCACCCCCGTATATATGCCTGATTCTGCAACTACGGGCCACAGGGTCAATTTTTAGGATTTTATTTTAAATTTTTACAATTGTTTATATGTTAAGTTCACACTACAATCACCCCAGATTTCAAGTATTTTAGCTACTTTTCAGATGCATTTTATACCTCAATTTCCCTGACCCAGACTTTTGAGCTTCTACTATGTTTTTCTATGTGAAAACATTAATAATTACACATGATATAATGTTATCTAATAGAGAAAGAGTCAGTTAAATCAAATCTATATCAATATTTAGTGTGAGTATGCCCTATATATTGTTATTTACACAAAATATACCTGTCCTTTGGTAGTGGTGTCATTTCCACCACTGAGGGCAAATTCCTCATTAAGGCCAGGCACCACAGCCAAAATTTTTGATTTTGCTTCCATCTGTCAATTTTCAGATTTTGGGATATTTTGCAACTATAATTTCCATACTTTCATAAAATGTACAAAGAAATCGGCAATAATGTATATAAATACTTGATTTGTATCATTTTATCCCAACTCCGTCAACTACACCTACCATAAATGTTGTTCTTGTTAGCATGTTTCATGTAGAACTTCAACCGCAATTTTAAAACTCTCCATGTTGGATCTTATATCATTCAAAAGCTTGTTTTCCGGACATATCGTTAGCTAGTCCATACATGGCTATATCCTTTGTAGACGTAGTGCTTAAAGATGAGTAATGCCCTGACATCCGATTGGTTACTGACATTTAAAGGCCCTTTCCGGCAACCTGATTGGTTAAAATGCCTCACAGCGCTTCCTTGTTTGAAAATATCTCCCGCGAAGAATCCACGTAAAGAGACAAAATGAGAAAATCTCGAAGAATATATCTACAGTATGTGAATAGAAATAGGCCATCTCAGTTAGCCAATGCAAGAAAAGCAGTGAATGAAAGAAAAAATTAGCCTGACCAGCCGATCGAGGCAGTGGCAGTACAGGTAGAGGAGGAAAAGGAGGCAGCCGGCAGCAGCGCCTCGAGACACAAATTAGTTGAGATGAAGATGACAGCTAGCAGCGATCAACCAGACAGCAGCCAGCCAACAGTGGCTTTTATTCCACATGTCACAAATAAACCAACTTGTACAAGATTTGATTTGCCCTAAGTGTCTAAACACTGGACTGAAAATCACCATAGACCCCACCAACCAGGGATTCTGTAATTCTGTCATGATAGAATGTGCACACTGTGAAGGTGATCGTGATGCATTTAGGAGGAGTGTTGATACTTCCTCCAGGTGACAGGAGTGCTCCAGGGGAGATGTGGCATTTGATATAAATGTGAGGATGGTTCTTCTAGCCCACGAACTTGGACTTTGTTATGCAGCTCAAAAGAAAATAAGCAAAGTCCTAGGGATTCCTTCCTTGTGTCTCAGCTCATATCAGAGACTTGACAGGAGAGTGACAGGTCAATTAAAAGGGAGAGTAGCCCATTATTGTCAGGTGACTTGCTGTGTATAAATCATATTTATTTATGCTCCAGAAAATGTATTCAAAGTGAATAAAACTGAGTGATAGGAAAACATAACTATACAATGAGACTGTCACATAGGTCTACAGTGTCATAGGGCTGTAGCCTACTTTGATTACTGAGAAATTAGCTTGACATAAAGTAAATACATGCTGATATGCTAATATTTACATAGGGTAACATGCTGATATTTAGTCCTGCAGTTATGACTGTAATGTCAACAGACATAATAAGTACTTTTTCCCCCCACTTTAGTTGCAGAGATTCAGAGAGGGCTAAAGTCAATGGAGAGTGCGGCAAAGCTGATTAGAAGAGCATACGCAGATATAGACCCAGACATAGCAGAGTTGCTGAAGGAAGATGAGGATGCCATCATAGACATTCATGTATCCTTTGATGGCACTTGGCACAACTTCCAACTATGGGATAGGTGTGGGCATTGGTGATGGTACCAGCGAGCCATAGAAATGGTGAAGATCCACCCAGTCAAAAAACCATGGAGGCCATATATTTTTTAATAGAGAGGTTGCACAGAAAATGGTACATGTATATCATAGGATTTCAAAAGATAACCTCCTCAAAAGAATGTAGCACGGAGGAACCCAGAATGCAAATTAATGTCTGAACTCTGTAATAAGGTCGCAATGCCCTAAAACTGTCTTTGTGGGTAAAAGCTGCATTGACGCAGCAGCCAGTATGGCAGTAGCCACGTTCAATGAGGGAGCCACTGCTACAGTGGGGAAAAAAAGTATTTAGTCAGAAACCAATTGTGCAAGTTCTCCCACTTAAAAAGATGAGAGGCCTGTAATTTTCATCATAGGTACACGTCAACTATGACAGACAAATTGAGAAAAAAAATTCCAGAAAATCACATTGTAGGATTTTTAATGAATTTATTTGCAAATTATGGTGGAAAATAAGTATTTGGTCACCTACAAACAAGCAAGATTTCTGGCTCTCACAGACCTGTAACTTCTTCTTTAAGAGGCTCCTCTGTCCTCCACTCGTTACCTGTATTAATGGCACTTGTTTGAACTTGTTATCAGTATAAAAGACACCTGTCCACAACCTCAAACAGTCACACTCCAAACTCCACTATGGTCAAGACCAAAGAGCTGTCAAAGGACACCAGAAACAAAATTGTAGACCTGCACCAGGCTGGGAAGACTGAATCTGCAATAGGTAAGCAGCTTGGTTTGAAGAAATCAACTGTGGGAGCAATTATTAGGAAATGGAAGACATACAAGACCACTGATAATCTCCCTCGATCTGGGGCTCCACGCAAGATCTCACCCCGTGGGGTCAAATTGATCACAAGAACGGTGAGCAAAAATCCCAGAACCACACGGGGGGACCTAGTGAATGACCTGCAGAGAGCTGGGACCAAAGTAACAAAGCCTACCATCAGTAACACACTACGCCGCCAGGGACTCAAATCCTGCAGTGCAAGACGTGTCCCCCTGCTTAAGCCAGTACATGTCCAGGCCCGTCTGAAGTTTGCTAGAGTGCATTTGGATGATCCAGAAGAGGATTGGGAGAATGTCATATGGTCAGATGAAACCAAAATATAACTTTTTGGTAAAAACTCAACTCGTCGTGTTTGGAGGACAAAGAATGCTGAGTTGCATCCAATGAACACCATACCTACTGTGAAGCATGGGGGTGGAAACATCATGCTTTGGGGCTGTTTTTCTGCAAAGGGACCAGGACGACTGATCCGTGTAAAGGAAAGAATGAATGGGGCCATGTATCGTGAGATTTTGAGTGAAAACCTCCTTCCATCAGCAAGGGCATTGAAGATGAAACGTGGCTGGGTCTTTCAGCATGACAATGATCCCAAACACACCGCTCGGGCAACGAAGGAGTGGCTTCGTAAGAAGCATTTCAAGGTCCTGGAGTGGCCTAGCCAGTCTCCAGATCTCAACCCCATAGAAAATCTTTGGAGGGAGTTGAAAGTCCGTGTTGCCCAGCGACAGCCCCAAAACATCACTGCTCTAGAGGAGATCTGCATGGAGGAATGGGCCAAAATACCAGCAACAGTGTGTGAAAACCTTGTGAAGACTTACAGAAAATGTTTGACCTGTGTCATTGCCAACAAAGGGTATATAACAAAGTATTGAGAAACTTTTGTTATTGACCAAATACTTATTTTCCACCATAATTTGCAAATAAATTCATTAAAAATCCTATAATGTGATTTTCTGGATTATTTTTTCTCATTTTGTCTTTCATAGTTGACGTGTACCTATGATGAAAATTACAGGCCTCTCTCATCTTTTTAAGTGGGAGAACTTGCACAATTGGTGGCTGACTAAATACTTTTTTTGCCCCACTGTATATCAAATGTGATGGACAAATTGTGGCCTGACAGCACTTTGGTGACACTGGAAGCAATCAGAGAGGAGTTGTTAGAGCTGATGCTGCTTCAATGGAGTGTGACAAGCGTAGGCGCAGGTCCCATGGCACAGTCAAGAAAGTAAAGCGGCACCAGCAACTCAAAGAGAGCCTTACATATGGGGCAGGCATAGCTGATTAATGTTCTGCACATTTCAACAGCCATACAAAATCCTTGTATGTGACAAATTGAGCAAAGTGAAATTAGAATTTGCCCAAAACTGCATATTTGCCCAACAGACCAGTATTCAAAAATACATTCTGCCATGAAGCAATGCATTGAAAAACGGATTCCTGTGATATGCAAATTAGTGCATATTTAAGGAGGTTTTGCCTCACTTGCATATTTTAAAAATAAATACAACTTGTAATACAATAATATAATGCATTTATGTATACTTTCAACTGGTAAAGTTTCAGTCTGATGAGAGTAAAGGGAAATAAATCCCTATTAGCCTGTGGTGCCTGGCCTTAATAAAGTTTTGTCTAGAGAAGGTTAATTTAGTTACCATGGAAACTTATTTTGACACTGAAGCACATGGCTGCAGCGGACAGTTGTTCCAGATGGGATGTCCAGAAGTTGAAGAAAAATCTAGGGAAATATTGCTTGTGTAGAGAATATTTTTTTGTCAGTGATTTCCAAACAGGCTATAATTTCTTTAATTTGTGGTAGAATTTTAGGTGTAAACTATATGCTAGCTGTAATACTAGCCAAAGCATGCTAAGCAGTCTGTCAATTTTCTCCAAAAACTGTAGAAGCATCATTTCCATCAGTCATTTCCATCACAAACTTAACTGTGGTGGAAATGACAGAACGTGGTGGAAATGACAAAAATCCCCTATGTTATTACTTTTTACTTTATAAAAAAAAAAACTTTTGGCTTATTTAATCATGTTTTAAATTAATTTAATCTAGAAAATGCTCCAAGGTGAGCACAAATTGAAAACCTAAGTAGTTTTTAGAATATGCCACATAAAACAGCACAGAGGTCACAGACATAGAAACAAAACAAAAATTGATCCTATACGATACCAGGAACATCTGCAAAAAGACAGGGAGAGATACTGGAAGAAAAAAGAGAAGGGTTAGTGAAATCTATCTCTGCGCTTACAAAGCAAGAAGAAAGAAGCAAGAGAAGACAATGGAAATGCAACCAATGGAATAGAAGACAGACTTTAAAGAGAACAGTTGCAATGGAGACCTACCTATCAGGCAACACACCACCTTAGTCACCAGATGACTTGCAGCCAGAACATGAGGCCAACATACCTGCCCCTAATTTACCTGCCCCTGATGCACGCCTTGATACCCCTTCCTCATCGTCTGCAACAGGAATGAGAAGTCGAATACTTGCTGGAAGGAAAAAGGTTGGAAGAGGTCGCTCAAAAACATGCAGAGATCTTTGCATGACAAATGTCAAACTTGATAAAGCTTTACGGAAAACTGAGAAATACAAAAAAAGTTTTGATCAACTGATGAAGAAAATGGAGAGACAAGATTCCCCAAAGACAAAGACAAAACAGCAAATGAAGGGAACTCCGAAGAAATTGAGAAGGATTTTAAAGTTTCAAAATGCCATCATTGCGGAGTTAAAGCAAAAGTATCAACAAATGCGCAGTGCCAAGGACAAACAAGTGGCTTCAAAAATGCTCAGAGGCAACATCCTGAGAAAGTATGGCCTGGTCAAAGCCGCAAACAGAAATTTGGATTTTCAGCAAAAGCAATGAGGGCAAATGAAAACAGGCCAACAAGTCTTCAATACTCCTGGACAATTCAGTGTAACAGAATTAGCACAGCCACAGAAGAGAAAATCACTAGATTCTATGAACGTGATGTCGACAGTAGAGCAACAACAGGGAAAAGGGACTCACTAACAAGGGACAAGAAAAAAAAACCTTATTGAGTATTTGTACTGTGAGAACCTGAAGAAAGAGTGCATGTCAAAGAACCATTAGTAACACACTACGCCGTCATGGATTAAAATCCTGCAGCGCACGCAAGGTCCCCCTGCTCAAGCCAGCGCATGTCCAGGCCCGTCTGAAGTTTGCCAATGACCATCTGGATGATCCAGAGGAGGAATGGGAGAAGGTCATGTGGTCTGATGAGACAAAAATAGAGCGTTTTGGTCTAAACTCCACTCGCCGTGTTTGGAGGAAGAAGAAGGATGAGTACAACCCCAAGAACACCATCCCAACCGTGAAGCATGGAGGTGGAAACATCATTCTTTGGGGATGCTTTTCTGCAAAGGGGACAGGACGACTGCACCGTATTGAGGGGAGGATGGATGGGGCCATGTATTGCGAGATCTTGGCCAACAACCTCCTTCCCTCAGTAAGAGCATTGAAGATGGGTCGTGGCTGGGTCTTCCAGCATGACAACAACCCGAAACACACAGCCAGGGCAACTAAGGAGTGGCTCCGTAAGAAGCATCTCAAGGTCCTGGAGTGGCCTAGCCAATCTCCAGACCTGAACCCAATTGAAAATCTTTGGAGGGGGCTGAAAGTCCGTATTGCCCAGCGACAGCCCCGAAACCTGAAGGATCTGGAGAAGGTCTGTATGGAGGAGTGGGCCAAAATCCCTGCTGCAGTGTGTGCAAACCTGGTCAAGACCTACAGGAAACGTATGATCTCTGTAATTGCAAACAAAGGTTTCTGTACCAAATATTAAGTTCTGCTTTTCTGATGTATCAAATACTTATGTCATGCAATAAAATGCAAATTAATTACTTAAAAATCATACAATGTGATTTTCTGGATTTTTGTTTTAGATTCCGTCTCTCACAGTTGAAGTGTACCTATGATAAAAATTACAGACCTCTACATGCTTTGTAAGTAGGAAAACCTGCAAAATCGGCAGTGTATCAAATACTTGTTCTCCCCACTTTATATGTATTTATAGACTGGGTGGTTCGAGCCCTGAATGCTGATTGGCTGACAGCCGTGGTATATCAGACCATATACCACGGGTATGACAAAACATTTATTTTTACTGCTCTAATTACGTTGGTAACCAGTTTATAATAGCAATAAGGCACCTCGGGGGTTTGTGGTATAAGGGCGTTGCGTTGTGCCTAAGAACAGCCCCTAGCCGTGGTACACTGCTCAAAAAAATGAAGGGAACACTTAAACAACACTGTAACTCCAAGTCAATCACACTTCTGTGAAATCAAACTGTCCACTTAGGAAGCAACACTGATTGACAATACATTTCACATGCTGTTGTGCAAATGGAATAGACAACAGGTGGAAATTATAGGCAATTAGCAAGACACCCCCAATAAAGGACTGGTTTTGCAGATGGTGACCACAGACCACTTCTCAGTTCCTATGCTTCCTGGCTGATGTTTTGGTCACTTTTGAATGCTGGCGGTGCTTTCACTCTAGTGGTAGCATGAGACGGAGTCTACAACCCACACAAGTGGCTCAGGTAGTGCAGCTCATCCAAGATGGCACATCAATGCGAGCTGTGGCAAGAAGGTTTGCTGTGTCTGTCAGCGTAGTGTCCAGAGCATGGAGGCGCTACCAGGAGACAGGCCAGTACATCAGGAGACGTGGAGGAGGCCGTAGGAGGGCAACAACCCAGCAGCAGGACTGCTACCTCCGCCTTTGTGCAAGGAGGAGCAGGAGGAGCACTGCCAGAGCCCTGCAAAATGACCTCCAGCAGGCCACAAATGTGCATGTGTCTGCTCAAACGGTCAGAAACAGACTCCATGAGGGTGGTATAAGGGCCCGACGTCCACAGGTGCAGGACGTTTGGCATTTGCCAGAGAACACCAAGATTGGCAAATTCGCCACTGGCGCCCTGTGCTCTTCACAGATGAAAGCAGGTTCACACTGAGCACATGTGACAGACGTGACAGAGTCTGGAGACGCCGTGGAGAACGTTCTGCTGCCTGCAACATCCTCCAGCATGACCGGTTTGGCGGTGGGTCAGTCATGGTGTGGGGTGGCATTTCTTTGGGGGGCCGCACAGCCCTCCATGTGCTCGCCAGAGGTAGCCTGACTGCCATTAGGTACCGAGATGAGATCCTCAGACCCCTTGTGAGACCATATGCTGGTGCGGTTGGCCCTGGGTTCCTCCTAATGCAAGACAATACTAGACCTCATGTGACTGGAGTGTGTCAGCAGTTCCTGCAAGAGGAAGGCATTGATGCTATGGACTGGCCTGCCCGTTCCCCAGACCTGAATCCAATTGAGCACATCTGGGACATCATGTCTCGCTCCATCCACCAACGCCACGTTGCACCACAGACTGTCCAGGAGTTGGTGGATGCTTTAGTCCAGGTCTGGGAGGAGATCCCTCAGGAGACCATCCGCCACCTCATCAGGAGCATGCCCAGGCGTTGTAGGGAGGTCATACAGGCACGTGGAGGCCACACACACTACTGAGCCTCATTTTGACTTGTTTTAAGGACATTACATCAAAGTTGGATCAGCCTGTAGTGTGGTTTTCCACTTTAATTTTGAGGGTGACTCCAAATCCAGACCTCCATGGGTTGATAAATTAGATTTCCATTGATAATTTTTGTGTGATTTTGTTGTCAGCACATTCAACTATGTAAAGAAAAAAGTATTTAATAAGATTATTTCATTCATTCAGATCTAGGATGTGTTATTTTAGTGTTCCCTTGATTTTTTTGAGCAGTGTATATTGGCCATATACCACACCCCCTCATGCTTTATTGCTGAAATATATAACATATAACATGTAAATAATAATATTAAGTGTTCAATAAATTGTATTCTTGGAGTGCCTTTGTTAGAACTATGAAACAGAAAGCATCGGTGTTGGAGCCTGGTATGGTCCCGTGTGGCTCAGTAGGTAGAGCATGGCACTTGCAACGCCAGGTTTTGGGTTCGATTCCCACAGGGGACCAGTACGAACAAATATGAAAATGTATGCACTCACTACTGTAAGTCGCTCTGGATAAGAGTGTCTGCTAAATGACGTAAATGTAAAATGCACAAGCTTATTTTTATAACGACAAAATAAAAATACATACCCCAACCACCAAGACGCACAGTCAGCCAGATGCATGGTCAAATGACAAAAACATCAGTAGCCTGAACATCATTGCAAGCGCCAAGTGTGCTTGATAATAGTGACAATCATCACATAAGCAATAATGTCATTATGAATATGTGTTGATATGACAGCAGTCAAAAAGTAAATGATTAATGTCCATGTCACATAGCCTAAACCAGTGGTTCCCAACCAGGGGTACTAGGGCCCCTGGGGGTACTTGGCCAATCCACGGGGGGTACTTGAGAATACTCATGAGGCCATAGGCCTACTGGTAAAATGCACACGAGGGGGTACTTCAGGGGTACTCCGGCAAGGGCGATATTCAGTTGTTGGTACAGTAACCAAAAAAGGTTGGGAACCACTGGCCTAAACAACGAAAGCTGTTGAGTGCGTTGCTGATTTTATTTCTTGCTTGATATGTAGGGCCTGCTCCCTCAGTGATTACATTTTGTGTTGATAATAAATAGCCTGTAGAATTCTCACCGGCTTGTTCTATTCCAAATGGTGCCATTCTCTCCTGTCTCACCATTTCATTTGGTGGTGGCATGGGCATCTGCTCAGTGCGCACAGTTCTGGCTTTTTTGCACTTCGGCCTCAGCGGTGTAGGTTCAAGGTTGAGGCTCAGAATCAGAACCAGAAGAATGCTCATCATCCTCCAACCATCGGAGTAGCAACGCTAACGAGTGCATCCATTCGTCTTGGTCTTCTTGCCATTGTATTTTACGCACACTCTCACTGTGTAGGCCAGAGTAGACTGATAGAGTACATAGCATTTTGAGATTAGAATAGATCAATACAATAGAATGGCCTGCCCTGTTCTTCATTCACAATTTGTGATTACATAATTATGCATCGTTCGCTTCCCCTCGCTCATCCATTCTCCACCATCATACTTTAGCCTACTTCATTTATTTCATCTCTTATTATAGACCTATGTGTGAAATTAGTTTCGATATAGTTTAGGTTCACTTTCAACTTGGCATGGCATCTTCAGCTATCCAGAGGAGGGGAGCAGGCCCTACTGTTGAGAGACGGGAGGGGCAACGGGAAAAACCATATAAAAAATGACATGCCCTCCTAAACTATCTATCAGTTCTGTTTGTGATATTAAGATTCTAACAACAACAGTGTGTATGATTGACTTATTTAGGAAAAGTCAAGGATGGAGGGGTTTTGACTTTAAAAATGGCAGAGTAATATATATCTAAATGACTGCTTTAGTTTGGGTTTTATAGTAATGACATGTAATTTAACTGTACAAATTTATTAGCCTACCTTTTAATGTGGCATGAACACAACCAGTCATGATGTTTTCATCTGATTGTAAAACTAATCACTTCAAAAAGTAGGTTATCTTCGCACGTTTGTCCAAAATAGCATCAGATCGACTGAAACAGTGCCCTGTCTTAAAAATATGTAGCCCCATGTATCTGATGTGGTCTGGTAAAAAAGAGAATGTCATGCTATACTCTTTTATTCCAGACAGCATCAGATACATGGGCTACACATAATGAGACAGAGAGGCGCTGTTCCGCTTGCCTGGATGCTTTATCTGACAATGATGGGTCTTTGTCGGCGAGCGTCTTGGTCAAATAAATTATCAATATTTTATTTGGATGGGCCAGGAGGTACGTTAGGGCGGGCTAACGCCGGCCCTGGTATATATTGGGCTAGCCAGCCAGCTAGCCTGTGAAATACTGTATATTCAAACACCTTTCCTTCAATGATGTCTAGTATGTCGCTCTATGCTTTCCTATACACGCAGGTAGACCTGTAGCTAGCTGTCTTCTCGCTCTGTGTTCTTCTGTCTAGAAAGGCATCTAAATAAAATGTATGTGAAGGAACAGCTGATACAAGCCAGCAATGATCTCTCTCTTGGCAAATACAGTTTCCAGGGGCAGAATCCTTCATGTAGGTTCAGGAGCACCTCAGCAACAGAGAGGGCATTGCAGTACCAGGCAGGACAGAAGATCCATGGCTTCACAGTTAAGGAGGTAAACTGTCCAAGTCATCACATTATCCACAACAGTGTTTCTCAATTCTGGTCCTGGGGACCCAAAGGGGTGCAAATGTTTTGCCCTAGCACTAAAACACCTGATTCCACTCATCAAACGCTTGATGATGAATTGATTGATTAGTTGTTAGTGCTGGACTAAACTAAAATGTGAATCCCTTTGGGTCCCTAGAATTGGAAAACACTGACCCACAACAAGAAGAACATCCTGATTCTGATCAATTCACATATACTTCTAGTTAAGGTTTAGTGTAAAGTCCGGATAAATGTGATATTATCTTCCTGTTTTTCTGCAGGTGGTTGCTGTTCCTGACCTGTTTCTTACAGCTGTCAAGCTGACCCATGACAACACAGGTGCCCAGTATTTACACGCAGCTAGAGATGACAAAAACAATCTCTTTAGGTAATAATCCCACATTTGTGGAAGTATGCTTTATTTGGATAAGGTTTTAAGTTAAAATGTAACCTCGTCCCCAGGCTCAATTGCTACCCTGACAGAGATAAAGAGCCAGCTGGTTGAAGAGATTAGATCAAATGAAATGTACTAGTTTACTAACAAAATACTTATTCTAAGCCAGTGCTTTTTCTAATGACGGTGTTTCCATCTCTTGTCGTAACACCTCTGCAGTGTTCAGCTCAGGACGACCCCAATGGACAACACAGGGGTCCCACACATCCTGGAACACACAGTGTTGTGTGGTTCAGAGAAGTACCCCTGCAGAGACCCCTTCTTCAAGATGCTCAACAGATCACTCTCCACATTCATGAACGCATTCACAGGTACTGTGTGTGTGTGTGTGCACGTGTGTGTGCACGCACGCAAGGTGTCTGAAATGTCATTGTTTTTTATTCACAGCTAGTGATTTCACCATGTATCCATTCTCCACACAAAACGGGAAAGACTTCCAGAATCTCCTCTCCGTGTATCTGGATGCAGTGTTTTTCCCTTGTCTACGAGAACTTGACTTTTGGTAAGTGTGGTGTTTAAATAGATGCCTCTTTAATCAAAATCAGTGACATCCGAAGTCTGCCTTCATATCCTTGTCCTCAATGTGTTTCGTTAAAGGCAGGAGGGATGGAGACTGGAGAATGAAAACCCTACAGATCCTACTTCCCCTTTGGTCTTTAAAGGAGTTGTCTTCAATGAAATGAAGGGCGCTTTTGTGAGTTACTTCTTTCCAAACGATTTATTTAGAGATTTGTTATTAGATTTATTGCGATTAATTTGTGAGAATTAGGCTATGTTAATTACAGAATAATTTGGTCAGGAGATAGACAAATAGAAGTCATATTGGAATCTTACATGTCCTCTCTGTATGTGATTTCAGTCAGACAACGAGAGGGTATATGCCCAGCACTTGCAGAACAAGCTGTATCCTGACCACACATACGGTGTGGTGTCTGGAGGGGAACCCCTGGCCATCCCTGACCTCTCCTGGGAACAACTGAAGCACTTCCACGCTACACACTACCACCCCAGCAATGCAAGGTACAGTACACTGTGACATACACACTACACCACCACGCTTCTACACTAGCTACTGCTCCACTCTATTAACACACTGTAAAGTACATTGTGATACACTATGACCTGTACAGTACACTGTCACACATTACCACTTAGCAATGCACAGCACAACACACTGTCACACACCCCAATATTATATACTCGGTACAGTAGCACTGTGTCTTGTCACACAACTCTGTTGGGCCTTGGCAGTAACATGGTTTCCCCTTTTCTGCTCCTCAGGTTCTTCACCTACGGGGATCTGCCCCTGGAGCAGCACCTGAAACAGATCCAGGAGGAGGCTCTGTCCAAGTTTGAGCGCAGTGAGCCGGACACTGCTGTCCCTAAACAACCCCACTGGGACAGGCCTGTGCGTCTGCCCATTCAGTATCACTGTAGCTCATTCAGTTCCAGCTGTCAGATATTAGTTTATTCATTATCAGCTCCCAGATATTACAAATCTATGCGCTCAACTTCAGCAACTTGGGCAAGGTCTATGGTTTGGAAGTTTGAATTAATTTCACAGTAATGCTTATTTGAATGATCTTGATGATAAGGTCCTGTTTGATTATGTTTTAATGTCTGTTTTTTTATGTGTGAAGCCAAAGACATTTCCACATTGTGCGGACAATAGTGTGTAATTCTAATGGATTTGTCCACAGAGAGAGGACCATGTGACGTGCAGTCCCGATGCTATGGCTCCTGATGCAGCCAAACAGAACACGCTGTGTATGAGCTACCTGCTAGGAGAGTACGTAATACTGAGCTACTGCAACACTATCAGTTGTTTCTCTAAAATTGTGTCTGGGATAGTATACATTGGTTAATTTTAAAGTGACTTTATCCTCAATTGTTGCATGTCTTGATTTACATATGCATTTTGGTCATTTAGCAGACACTCATCCAGAGCGACTTAAAATCAGTAAGTGATGCAGTAGTGGTCTCATTCAGGTGTTTTTCTCTCTACAGCATCACAGATACGTTTGAGGGCTTCACCCTGAGCCTGCTGTCCTCTCTGATGATCTCTGGACCCAACTCTCCCTTCTACAAGACCCTCATAGAACCCAAGATAGGAACAGACTTCTCCTCTGTCGTAGGGTGGGTAAACCTCTTTGGAGACGGATTAACATTGATCAATTAACATTGATAAAACACTTTAAAAATACATAAAGTCCCAGAATACAGGCACTTTATCTCAATGAAGTTAAAGCACTTGTGAGGAGAACATTGGCAGAGCAGGCAGAGCTCTTTGAAATGTTGATATATACTGAACAGTAAAATGCTTCATTTACCAGTATCTATTCTTTTCCAGATATGATGGGAGCACCAAAGAGGCATCATTCAGCATTGGCTTGCAAGGAATGGCTGAAGAAGACACAGAGAAAGTCAAGCAAATCATTGTCCAAACCATTGATGAGATCATTGCGTAAGTATACTGCTGATGTGTTATGTACAGTAACACTATCATCACAATAATGTCATCTAACTGTATTTCTCTCCTAATGATGCAGTAATGGATTTGAGGAGGAGAGGATAGAGGCCCTGCTTCATAAGATTGAAATCCAGATGAAACATCAGTCTACCAGCTTCGGCCTGTCTCTGGCCTCAGTGAGTACAAGGCCACACTTTGTCCGGTGTCTCCACTGTGATGTTTGAACCATGAAAATGTTCTTGTTTTCTATACACGCACACAGACACACACTAAACAGAGATTAAATGTGAAGGGAATTGAATTGTATATAAAGACAGATTGAAGAAGGGTAGCTCAGTTGGTAGAGCATGGCGCTTGCAACGCCAAGGTTATGGGTACGATTCCCACGGGGGGCCAGTATGAAAATGTATGCACTCACTAACTGTAAGTCGCTCTGGATAAGAGCGTCTGCTAAATGACGTAAATGTAAAAAAGAATGTGAACATACCATAGTGATTGTCCTGGGAGCAGTAGCTCCTGTATACAGTATGACCATATTTCCCCTCTGGTAAGTTTACTATTATTTGTCAGTACCTCTCTAACTATACTGAAGAAAAATATAAACGCAACATGTAAAGGGTTGGTCCCATGTTTCATGAGCTGAAATAAAACATCCCAGAAATGTTCTATACACACAAAAAGCGTATTTCTCTCAAATGTTGTGCACAAATGTGTATAAATCCCTGTTAGTGAGCATTTCTCCCTTGCCAAGACAGTCCATCCACCTGACAGGGGTGGCATGTCAAGAAGCTGATTAACAGCATGATCATTACACAGGTGCACCTTGTGCTGGGGACAATAAAAGGCCACTCTAAAATGTGCAGTTTTGTCAAACAACACAATGCCACAGATGTCTCAAGTTTTGAGGGAGTGTGCAATTGGCATGCTGACTGCAGGAATGTCCACTAGAGCTGTTGCCAGAGAATGTAATGTTAATTTCTCAGTATGGCAGTATGTCCAACCGGCCTCACAACAGCAGACCATGTGTAACCACACCAGCCCAGGACCTCCACATCTGGCTGCTTCACCTACAGGATTGTCTGAGACCAGCCACCCAGATAGCTGATGAAACTGTCTGCAATAAAGCCCTTTTGCAGGGAAAAACTCATTCTGATTGGCTGGGCCTGGCTCCCTAGTGGGTGGGCTGCGCCCCTGCCCAGTCATGTGAAATCCATAGATTAGGATCTAAGGAATTTATTTCAATTGACTGATTTCCTTATATGAACTGTAACTAAGTAAAATTGTTGAAATTCTTGCATGTTGCGTTTATATTTTTGTTCAGTATATTTTGGGTGTGTGTCGTCAACTCATGCTTTTTACTTGTCTCTGCAGCACATACAGTAGCTTCCTGCAGGAACCCAATGGACACACACACACCTAGGTGCAGCTCATGTATACAGTATGACCTTGTTTTTTTACTCTGTGTGTTGTCTCTCTGCTAACAGTACATAGCTTCCTGTTGGAACCATGATGGAGACCCGGTCCAGCTGCTGAAGATCAGCGAAAGTGTGGCCCAGTTCAGACAAGCCCTGAAGGACAACCCTCACTTCCTCCAGGAGAAAGTCCTACACTACTTCAAGGTGAGAGACCAGACAGGAGAAATAAGTTGAGTTTTCTTTCAGTATACATCGCATCTAAATCTGAATAGCGTATGTAACAGGAAATTCAGGAAAACAAATCAATAAAATGTAATGTGATATAGCAGTCTAATCAAGAAAGTTGAAGTCATCATGCAGGGGTCATAGACCAGGGAGTTGTTGAAAGAAGAAAATTACATCAGTTTAATCATGTCACTGAGTAGGAGACAGTTCAGTGTTACGGTAATGTCATGGTAATGTCATGTCACATTAGCGTCTTGTTTGTGCCCATGCAGGACAACACTCACAGGCTGACACTGTCAATGAGTCCAGATGAGGCATACCTGGAGAAACAGGTCAAAGCAGAGAAGGAGAAACTCCAGAAGAAGGTACAGGCTCTGTCTGATAGTGACAAGAAAGACATCTATGAAAAAGGTAAGTTATACGCCTACACCTATAGATGGGTTGCCTGACAATGTCACGAAAAAGATGCGTGCGCATTGATGGGGCAGAAGGCAGTGTGTTGTTATGATTCTGAACGGTCAGATAGCTAGCAACAATGACAAGAAGCTGCCATGTGGAGAATCGTAGATGGCTTGTTTCAGCTAGTTGTATCTTGTTCTTGGTACTACACTACATTACCAAAAGTATGTGGACGCCTGCTTGTCGAACATCTCATTCCAAAATCATGGGCATTAAAATGGAGTTGGTCAGTCATCCCTTTGCTGTTATAACAGCCTCCACTCTTCCACTAGATGTTGGAACATTGCTGCGGGGACTTGCTTCCATTCAGCCACGAGCATTAGTGAGGTTGGACACTGATGTTGGCCGATTATTCCTGGCTCGCAGTCGTCGTTCCAATTCATCCCAAAGGTGTTCGATGGGGTTGAGGTCAGGGCTCTGTGCAGGCCAGTCAAGTTCTTTCATACCGATCTCGACAAACCATTTCAGTGTGGACCTCGCGTTGTGCTCAGGGGCATTGTCATGCTGAAACAGGAAAGGGCCTTCCCCAAACTGTTGCCACAAAGTTGGAGGCACAGAATCGTCTAGAATGTCATTGTATGCTGTAGCGTTAAGATATCCCTTAACTGGAACTAAGGGGCCTAGGCTGAACCATGAAAAACAGCCCCAGACCATTATTCCTTTTCCACCAAACTTCACAGGTGGCACTATGCATTCGGGCAGGTAGCGTTCTCATGGCATCCGCCAAACCCAGATTAGTCCGTCGTCCTGCCAGATGGTGAAGCGTGATTCATCACTCCAGAGAACGCGTTTCCACTGCTCCAGAGTCCAATGGTGGCGAGCTTTACACCACTTCAACCGACGCTTGGCATTGCTCAAGTTGATCTTAGGCTTGTGTGTGGCTGCTCGGCCATGGAAACCCATTTCATGAAGCACCCAACGAACAGTCGTGCTGACGTTGCTTCCAAAGGCAGTTTGGAACTCGGTAGTGAGTGTTGCAACTGAGGACAGATGATTTTTACGCGCTACACGCTTCTGCACTCGGCGGTCCCGTTCTGTGAGCTTGTGTGGCCTACCACTTCGCGGCTGTGCCGTTGTTGCTCCTAGACATTTTCACTTCACAATAACACCACTTACAGTTGACCGGGGCAGCTCTAGCAGGGCAGAAATTTGACGAACTGACTTGTTAGAAAGGTGGCATCCTATGACGGTGCCACGTTGAAAGTCACTGAGCTCTTCAGTAAGGACATTTTACTGCCAATGTTTGTCTATGGAGATTGCATGGCTCTGTGCTCGATTTTATACACCTGTCAGCAACGGGTGTGGCTGAAGTACCCGAATGCACTAATTTGAAGGGGTGTCCACATACCTTTGTATATATAGTGTATGTCTTGTTTTGAGGTGTTTTGACTGATGTCATATCTATGCTAATAGAGCTAAAATGTGCTAGCTAGCTAACCAATAACTGTAACAATGTATTTGAGAGATAACAAGTGCTCATTGTGCAAATGTGTTTGTTTTCAATAAACATTTGGAGACTAAATATAATTCACGTTGTCCCAAAGTTGCGCACACATCGCTTTTGTTGCTAAACAACCCACCCATCTATTGAGGAGAATAGAGAAACTCATTCACTTCATTATGAAAACATTATAAACCATTCATGATCATAATGTTTTTGAGTATTTTTATACTAATTTATATGGCTTTCTATTCAGGTCTTGAGCTGTTATCGGTTCAGAGCAAGATCCAGGATGCCTCATGTCTCCCTGCCCTGAAAGTGTCTGACATTGAGCCAACGATAGCAGTCACACCTGTAGAGATGGGCACTGCAGGTACAGTACTTACTGTAGTATTGGATACACGCTGACGCTACACTCTAGTTACTCTAGGTTCCGAGGTTACACTCTAGTACAGTGTTTCCCATCTCCAGTCCTCCAGTACCCCCAACACTACATCTCCAGTCCCCCAGTACCGCCAACACTACATCTCCAGTCCTCCAGTATCCCCAACAGTACATCTCCAGTCCTCCAGTAGCCCCAACAGTACATCTCCAGTCCTCCAGTACCCCCAACACTACATCTCCAGTCCTCCAGTATCCCCAACAGTACATCTCCAGTCCTCCAGTAGCCCCAACAGTACATCTCCAGTCCTCCAGTACCCCCAACACTACATCTCCAGTCCCCCAGTACCGCCAACACTACATCTCCAGTCCTCCAGTATCCCCAACAGTACATCTCCAGTCCTCCAGTAGCCCCAACACTACATCTCCAGTCCTCCAGTATCCCCAACAGTACATCTCCAGTCCTCCAGTATCCCCAACAGTACATCTCCAGTCCTCCAGTAGCCCCAACAGTACATCTCCAGTCCTCCAGTACCCCCAACACTACATCTCCAGTCCTCCAGTATCCCCAACAGTACATCTCCAGTCCTCCAGTAGACCCAACAGTACATCTCCAGTCCTCCAGTACCCCCAACACTACATCTCCAGTCCCCCAGTACCGCCAACACTACATCTCCAGTCCTCTAGTATCCCCAACAGTACATCTCCAGTCCTCCAGTAGCCCCAACACTACATCTCCAGTCCTCCAGTATCCCCAACAGTACATCTCCAGTCCTCCAGTAGCCCCAACAGTACATCTCCAGTCCTCCAGTATCCCCAACAGTACATCTCCAGTCCTCCAGTAGCCCCAACAGTACATCTCCAGTCCTCCAGTACCCCCAACACTACATCTCCAGTCCCCCAGTACCGCCAACACTACATCTCCAGTCCTCCAGTACCCCCAACACTACATCTCCTGTCCTCCAGTAGCCCCAACACTACATCTCCAGTCCTCCAGTAGCCCCTGACAAACTCACCTGATTCAACTCATTGAGGGCTTGATGATTAGTTAACAAGTTGAAGCGGGTGTACTCGAGGACTGGAGTTGGGAAACACTGCTCTATAGTATACCCAGTCTGTCTGTTTTGATAGACTAAACCTCTAATTTCAAACAACATGCATGGTACTACACAGTTAATTCAGAAAGTATTCAGACCCCTTGACATTTTCCACATTTTGTTACGTTACAGCCTTATTCTAAAATGTATTAAATCGTTTTTTGCCCCTCATCAATCTACACAGAATACCACATAATGACAAAGCAAAAACAGGTTTTTAGAAATTTTTGCAAAAATAAATAACTAATAATACAGAAATATCACATTTACATAAGTATTCAGACCCTTTGTTCAGTACTTTGTTGAAGCACCTTTGGCAGCGATTACAGCCTCGAATCTTCTTGGGTATGACGCTACAAGCTTGGCACACCTGTATTTGGGAGTTTCTCCCATTCTTCTCTGCAGATCCTCTCAAGCTCTGTCAGGTTGGATGGGGAGCGTCGCTGCACAGCTATTTTCAGGTCTCTCTAGAGATGTTCAAGTCCTGGGCTCTGGCGGGGCCACTCAAGGACATTCAGAGACTTCTCCCGAAGCCGCTCCTGCGTTGTCTTGGCAGTGTGCTTAGGGTCGTTTTCCTGTTGGAAGGTGAACCTTCGCCCCAGTCTGAGGTCCTGAGCACTCTGGAGCAGGTTTTCATCAAGGATCTCTCTGTTCTTTGGTCCATTCATCTTTCCCTCGATCCTGACTAGTCTCCCAGTACCTGCCGCTGAAAAACATCCCCACAGCATGATGCTGCCACCACTATGCTTCACCGTAGGGATGGTGCCAGGTTTCCTCCAGACATGACGCTTGGCATTCGGGCCAAAGAGTTCAATCTTGGTTTCATCAGACCAGAGAATCTTGTTTCTCATGGTCTGAGAGTCCTTTAGGTGCCTTTTGGCAAACTCCAAGCGGGCTGTCATGTGCCTTTTACTGAGGAGTGGCTTCCGTCTGGCCACTCTACCATAAAGGCCTGATTGGTGGAGTGCTTCAGAGATGGTTGTCCTTCTGGAAGGTTCTCCCATCTCATCAGAGGAACTCTGGAGCTCTGTCAGAGTGACCATCGGGTACTTGGTCACCTCCCTGACCAAGGCCCTTCTTCATAGATTGCTCAGTTTGGCCGGGCATTCAGCTCTAGTAAGAGTCTTGGTGGTTCCAAACTTCTTCCATTTAAGAATGATGGAGGCCACTGTTTTCTTGGGGACCTTCATAGCTGCTGAAATTGTTTTGTACCCTTCCCCAGATCTGTACCTCGACACAATCCTGTCTCGGAGCTCTACGGACAATTCTTTCTACCACATAGCTTGGTTTTTGCGATGACCTGCAGTCAACTGTGGGACCTTATATAGATAGGTGTGTGCCTTTCCAAATCATGTCCAATCAATTGAATTTGCCACAGGTGGACTCAAATCAAGTTGTAGAAACATATCAAGGATGATCAATGGAAACAGGATGCACCTGAGCTCAATTTCGAGTCTCATAGCAAAGGGTCTGAATACCTATGTAAAAAGGTATTTCTGTTTTTTATTTTGTATGAATTTGCAAAAGATTATAAAAACCTGTTTTCGCTTTGTCATTATGGGGTATTGTGTGTAGATTGATGAGGACATTTTTGTATTTAATCCATTTTAGAAGAAGGCTGTAATGTGGAAAAAGTAAAGGGGTCTGAATACTTTCCAAATGCACTATAGATATGTTTTGATGTACAATTTCCCAGTATTATACTGGCAAATGAACTGGTCCACACATCAAGACAGAAATTCTTTAGCTCCTCAGCATCATTAGGATGCTCAGGTATTTGTCTCATTGTTTTGTCTCCCTCTGACATTTGTCCTGTTCTACTCTCTTCACCCCACTAGGAGGCGTCCCGGTGCAGTACTGTGAGCAGCCAACCAATGGGATGGTCTACTTCAGGGCTATGTGTAGTCTCAACACCCTCCCTGAAGACCTCAAACTATATGTGCCCCTCTTCTGCAGTGTCATCACCAAGTGAGTCCAGACCCCATATAATATGACCAATCATTTGTGTATTGTCCAGAAAGCATAGCTTGTGTGGTTTGGTTTCATAAACATGTGTTGAAGTTAATGGAGTTAGTTGCAATTGTGAAGAGTATTGAGTTTTTGTCTTGAGAATGTGTGTCCGTCTGGGTTACTGAGGTGATTGTGAGAAGGCGTGCTGCGTCGGTCCAGGTTGAGCTACCGGTATGTAGTGAATGTGATAAGGTAATGGGAGTGTGTTATTTTAGGATGGGGTGTAAAGTGTGATTGATACAGAGTATGTGTTGGTCCAGATTGGCTGTGAGATGAGACATGCTAATGGGTGTGTGTTACCAGGATGGGCTGTGGAGGGCTGGACTACAGGCAGCAGGCCCAGCAGATGGAGCTGAAGACAGGAGGCATGTCCATCTCCACATCAGTCAACCCTGACTACTCTAACATGGACATGTATGAACAGGTCAGTCCTAGACTGGGCGATATATCGGATTAATTCGAATGTATGTTTTTGCGTGGTATTCCAAATGCCTGTATCACAAGAATCAAGGTTTTGTTATTTTTCGTTTTTATGAGCGTTTATGTCCGCTTGTACTCATGTTGTATTTTTGGTCTCGTCTCTTTCGCTCCTTCTGTGCTGTGTGCACCTTCCCATTTACACCAGAGATCTGTATATAATGACGAGATGCACGTCTCCGCCCTAACAATGGGAGACGTTGTCCCAAAGGCGGGAAGGCAGGCAACAAGCTTAGATCCAAAATAAGCCCATAGAAATGCATTGGCCTTACTTTGGACAGATTTTAGCGAGCGTGAAACCTCTCGCTTCGCCTCTTCCTCTATGGTTTAAACACACACCAAGCCCCTCCCCCTGCCTCTCACGCCAACAAAGTTGAGAGATCACATCGTCCTCTCTGACATACGGTTTCAACTCGCTGTTTCCATTTGAGGTTTGGTCCAACAGAATCGGTCATATGGACACCAAAACACATTGAGACATTATTTTACTGTAGTAGAGAAGAAGTTAACTTTTCTAGTGATACCCTTTTTATGTCTCAACTACTCAAATTGCGCACAGAGCAGACACTACTAAAACGAGAGTATCAATGAACATTGATTCTGTAAAATGAATGTGCAGTTTGTCGGGTTACCACGTACTGCTAGCAACATTTTAGCCAAAGACTGTTATACTAGCAGTCTAGTCTGTGTTTTATAAATGTACAATGAGCATAAAACACAATTATATGAGGAATTGGCAACTCATTCTGATAAATAAGGTAGGCCACTTGATTACAATATCTGAACAAAGTGGACAGGCTAACATGCTTTTCAAACAGTTGGAGACAGACAGAAGGGTGTGTTCATAACAATTCAACTGTTGAACATTGTTAGCTAGCAAATAGATCCAAGTTGGCTAAACTTGAAATACAAAGATTAGCTGGCTAATCACTAGCAAGTGGGCTTGAGAGGTTGTTGATGGTACCTGTGTTAATTTTCTATAGCCTTATGCCTGCTACAAGAGTTTCATCATTATTAGTGAATGTGCATTATGCATGGTTCTAGTTATATTTTAACAAAAAAGGGCATTTTCATAGACAGACTTGAAGGCCAGATCAGTGATTATTGCAACAACAAAAAAAGCAGGTTAAACTATACTGAACAACAATATAAACGCAACATGCAACAATTTCAAAGATTTTACTGAGTTATAGTTCGTATAAGGAAACAGTCAATTGAAATAAATTCATTAGGCCCTTATCTATGGATTTCACATGACTGGGCAGGGGTGCAGCCATGGGTGGGCCTTGGAGGGCACCCACTGGGGAGCCAGGCCCAGCCAATCAGAATGAGTTTTCCCCGCAGGTGAAAAAGCTGGATGTGGAGGTCCTGGGCTGGCGTGGTTACACGTGGGCTGCAGTTGTGAGGCCGGTTGGACATACTGCCAAATTCTCTAATACGAAATTGGGGGCAGCCTATGGTAGAGAAATGAACATTAAATTATCTGGCAACAGCTCTGGTGGACATTACTGCAGTCAGCATGCCAATTGCATGCTCCCTTAAAACTTGAGACATCTGTGGCATTGTGTTGTGACACAAAACTGCACATTTTAAAGTGGCCTTTTATTGTCCCAAGCACAAGGTGCACCTGTGTAATGATCATGCTGTTTAATCAGCTTCTTGATATGCCATTCCTGTCAGGTGGATGGATTATCTTGGCAAAGGAGAAATGCTCACTAAAAGGGATGTAAACAACTTTGTGCACAAAATTTGAGAGAGATACACTTTTTGTGCATATGGAACATTTCTGGGATTTTGTATTTAAGCTCATGAAACATGGGAACAACACATGTTGCATTTATATTTTTATTTAGTGTATTTTGATAAAATAATTAAATTATTAGTGGGTTTTATGTTTGTGGAAGGCTTATATTTAGCCTAGGTATAACTTCACAAGCTCTGAATTCATTAGATTATTGCTGACTGTTTGAAATACAGTGTATTTGACCTTTAATTGTACAACAACGCTTATTTAGAGAAAACAAAAAAAATTGCGATATACTGTATATCGTGAATCGCCCATGAGTTTGATAAAATCGAGGTATGATTTTTAGGCTAAATCGCTCAGCCCTAGTCAGTCCCCAGCCAGTCAGTCAGTCACAATAAAGCCTAATTTATACCTTTACGCAAGTATAACACAATTAGCTATAAGAAAGAGCATTGTTCATTCACAGTCTGATTCACAGGGAGTCATCCTCTCATCTTCCTGTCTGGAGAGGAATCTTCCTGATATGTTTCACCTGTGGAGTGACATATTCAACAGGTAGGCTTGCATGTCCATCAGAATAATACCATGGCACATAACCCATCTATGGTCACATGGTCACTAATAAACCACATGTCCATTGTTTTTTAACGACAAATTTGGTTGATATTATTTGAGCCCTTCTCCCTCTCTGCTCTGACCCATGAACCCTTAACTTGACCCACAGCCCGCACTTTGATGATGAGGAGCGTCTGCGTGTGCTGGTCATGATGTCGGCTCAGGAACTAGCCAATGGGATCTCTTACTCTGGTCACATGTACGCCATGACGAGGGCGGCTCGCAGCCTGACCCCAACAGGAGAACTACAAGAGACCTTCGGAGGGATGGAGCAGGTGAGAGAGGGGGGAGTACAATGAGGCTGAGGGTTTAGCAGCAAAGAAAAAGCTGTATGATGAAGGACAATGGTTATTGTACCCTCTGAGTGAGAATATGATGCACTTCTGTACACTCAAATGAAATAAATCTCAGTTTTCTTGTGTATCTTGAATATCAGGTCAAGTTCATGAAAAGGATTGCAGAGATGCCAGACCTCACCCAAGTTCTACGGACACTTCCTAGAATCAAGAGACACATTCTCAACCCACTGAACATGAGGTGGGTATAGTCTTTACACTGACAGCTACTTCAAGATTTTACTATAATTTCTCTATGTTGACTTGAGGGTAAAGTAGATTACAACTTCTCGTTGTTCGGACAGATGTGCGGTCAACGCAACGCCTCAGAAGATGTCTGATGCCGCAGGACAGTTGGATAACTTCATGTCTAACGTTGCTTCCAATAAGAAGGAACGCAAACCCGTCCGGTCCGATATCATTGAGGTATGAATTTGTCAAACTATCTTGGTACTGTACTGAGACTGCACTGTAACAAAGTGAAATAAATACTTGGGTATGTCCCAAATGGCAGCCTATTCCCTACATAGTGCACTACTTTTGACCAGAGCCCATAGGACTCTGGTCAAAATAAGTGCACTGTGTAGGGAATAGGGTCCCATTTGGGACGTAGCCTGAATCTTGCTGTGAGTTGACAGGTGTTCTTTTAATCCTAACAGAGACCTCTTGACCCACTGGCAGCTCCTGGATCTGGCCCAAGTAGAAAACTAATCGCTGTGCGTACCGCCTACACTTTTAAACTAGGCTCTATGTATCAAGCATAACCGTAGGAATAGTGATTGAGGATCAGTTTAGCCTTTTAGATCACAATGAATAAGATTACATGTTGGACAGGGGGGGCCTGATCCTAGATCAGCACTCATACTCTGAGACAATTGATCCATACAGCCTCTGAACATTAGTTTGCTCTTCCTTTCATTGTTGTTGAGTAACACTTTTTAATAATTGGTTTCTGACCATTGACCATATTCTACCATTGAGCTAATGTCAGTGTGTTTGATCATCACCCCACAGGAGCCCAACTTCAAGCCCTGCCAGATGAAGACATTTTTCCCAATGCCCTTCCCAATCAACTTTGTCAGCGAGTGTATCCGCACAGTGCCCTTCACCCATGAGGACTATGCCAGGTGACTGTCTTAAAGGGATAGTTTGGGATTTTTATGTCTCTGCGTTCAGTTTGAAGGAAGTTGCTAACTAGCGTTAGCGCAAATGTTAGCTGTTCCTGTAGATCCATGTTCATATTTACTAGGGTTGCAAAATTCTTCTTACTTTCCCAAAATCCCCTGATCTTCCAGAAATCCAGTTGGGATATTGCTGGAATCAGGAGGGAATAAGCACAAAATGTAGGATATTTCTAAAAGTTACAAATGTTGTAACCCCGTATTTACCCATGCTCGTCCCCTCTCTCTCCCTCAGCCTGAATATCCTGTCCCGGATGATGACTGCTAAGTACCTGCACGGAGAGATCAGAGAAAAGGGTGGGGCCTATGGTGGAGGGGCCAAGGTGGGAGGAGGACTATTCACCTTCTATTCATACAGGTTTGTAGTGTATTAATGTACTGTAATACATCAGGATTCTACTGTAGTTAAACAGGTTTTAACAGTAGTTACACAGATTAAGACATGAAAAAGCTGCAGAAAGACATGTTGCAGAAAATCTCCAAAACTGGAACTTTTCTAGAAATTGAAGAAACTGCCATATTTTACCATTGATGAACATACAATCACAAAACTTCACAAGCTATTTTGAATACATTTTCTTGATCCTAGAGTCATGAAATGTTCAGAGTACATTAAGGGGAGTTACACATTTTAATTAATGTACGGTTTGAATACATGTATTAAATAACTTCTTGGCATATTTCATTAGCTTTAACCCATTGTTCCATGTCCCTGTGTTGATTTCAGAGACCCTAACTCGGTGCAGACTCTGTCAACGTTCCGCAAGGGTGTGGACTGGGTCAGATCAGGACAGTTTACCCAGCAGGACATCGATGAAGCCAAGCTGTCCGTGTTCTCAGCCGTGGACTCCCCCGTCGCCCCCTCCAATAAAGGTGAACAGAGGATGCATCCCAAATGGCACCCTATTCACTATATAGTGCTACTTTTGACCAGAGCCCTACAGGCCCTGGTTAAAAGTAGTGCACTATATAGGGAATAGGGTGCCATTTGGGATGCGGCCAGGTCCTTCCATACTCAACAGAAACCCCACAGGATGACAAATACCACAGCTGACAAAAGATGTGCCCTTCCTTATCTCTCCTAGAGTTGCCTAAATGCCAGCTCTAAACCTCTTCACCTGACATTTAACATGCTGTTCTTTTATGTCCTGTTAAGTTTTACTGTAGTAACTTGTTATAATACATTTATAACATGAGGACAGCACTGGACACATTTAGTGTCTACAAAGAGAGACATTTACTTAGAGAGGTTTTCCCTTACCAGCGTCTCACTTTGGCGAGAAACATGGCTGACTTCTAAATGACATGTTATAAATGGACCATGATAAGAGATTAAAAAGACCCAAGTGTCAATCCTTGTCTTGACATGTGATATCACATCATCGTGTTGCAGGTATGGGCCGTTTCCTGAGTGGAATCACAGATGAGCTGAAACAGGCCCACAGAGAGAGACTCTTCGCTGTCACAGACAAGAACCTGGTCGATGTGGCTGGCAGGTAATGTGTTTTTTTGTTGAATATTATTTCAGGTGTTGTTAAATCTGTTTTTTTGAGTGCTCCAATGCCTGTTTAGCATGAATTAGTCCTTTTTGGATTTTTTTTGAGTATGCCCTATTATTGGACTTTGAATGAAAGTGAAAATGAGGAGTATGGCCTTTTAATACACTGCTCAAAAAAATAAAGGGAACACTTAAACAACACAATGTAACTCCAAGTCAATCACACTTCTGTGAAATCAAACTGTCCACTTAGGAAGCAACACTGATTGACAATACATTTCACATGCTGTTGTGCAAATGGAATAGACAACAGGTGGAAATTATAGGCAATTAGCAAGACACCCCCAATAAAGAAGTGGTTCTGCAGGTGGTGACCACAGACCACTTCTCAGTTCCTATGCTTCCTGGCTGATGCTTTGGTCACTTTTGAATGCTGGCGGTGCTTTCACTCTAGTGGTAGCATGAGACGGAGTCTACAACCCACACAAGTGGCTCAGGTAGTGCAGCTCATCCAGGATGGCACATCAATGCGAGCTGTGGCAAGAAGGTTTGCTGTGTCTGTCAGCGTAGTGTCCAGAGCATGGAGGCGCTACTAGGACACAGGCCAGTACATCAGGAGACGTGGAGGAGGCCGTAGGAGGGCAACAACCCAGCAGCAGGACCGCTACCTCCGCCTTTGTGCAAGAAGGAGCAGGATGAGCACTGCCAGAGCCCTGCAAAATGACCTCCAGCAGGCCACAAATGTGCATGTGTCTGCTCAAACAGTCAGAAACAGACTCCATGAGGGTGGTATGAGGGCCCGACGTCCACAGGTGGGGGTTATGCTTACAGCCCAACACCATGCAGGACGTTTGGCATTTGCCAGAGAACACCAAGATTGGCAAATTCGCCACTGGCGCCCTGTGCTCTTCACAGATGAAAGCAGGTTCACACTGAGCACATGTGACAGACGTGACAGAGTCTGGAGACGCCGTGGAGAACGTTCTGCTGCCTGCAACATCCTCCAGCGTGACCGGTTTGGCGGTGGGTCAGTCATGGTGTGGGGTGGCATTTCTTTGGGGGGCCGCACAGCCCTCCATGTGCTCGCCAGAGGTAGCCTGACTGCCATTAGGTACCGAGATGAGATCCTCAGACCCCTTGTGAGACCATATGCTGGTGCGGTTGGCCCTGGGTTCCTCCTAATGCAAGACAATGCTAGACCTCATGTGGCTGGAGTGTGTCAGCAGTTCCTGCAAGAGGAAGGCATTGATGCTATGGACTGGCCCGCCCGTTCCCCAGACCTGAATCCAATTGAGCACATCTGGGACATCATGTCTCGCTCCATCCACCAACGCCACGTTGCACCACAGACTGTCCAGGAGTTGGCGGATGCTTTAGTCCAGGTCTGGGAGGAGATCCCTCAGGAGACCATCCGCCACCTCATCAGGAGCATGCCCAGGCGTTGTAGGGAGGTCATACAGGCACGTGGAGGCCACACACACTACTGAGCCTCATTTTGACTTGTTTTAAGGACATTACATCAAAGTTGGATCAGCCTGTAGTGTGATTTTCCACTTTAATTTAGAGGGTGACTCCAAATCCAGACCTCCATGGGTTGATACATTTGATTTCCATTGATAATTTTTGTGTGATTTTGTTGTCAGCACATTCAACTATGTAAAGAAAAAAGTATTTAATAAGATTATTTTATTCATTCAGATCTAGGATGTGTTGTTTAAGTGTTCCCTTTATTTTTTTGAGCAGTATATTTTGGATGTATGTTTTACACAGGTACCTTGGCATTGGACAGAGGACATGTGGAGTTGCTATTCTTGGTCCTGAGAATGACACCATCAAGAAAGATCCTTCATGGGTGGTAAAATAACAGGACATCATGGAAAATGATCCACATTTATCTTCTCCAATTAAGAGACTTCAGATGCACTGTGATAAGATGGTAAACATCAGTGTTACTTGATTGTCCTAAAAAACTGGACTGTTGGTACAGTTTTATAATATACATTTATTATTGAATTAACCAGAAAGTTGCTTTGGTTTTGGATGTTGTTACGGCTTGGTGTTTTACACAAAGTTGAATATTCCATTGAGGTATGTGTATAAAGCTTTTTTGTAGGCAAATACTGAATGCGCACACCAGTAAACAGATAATCTCGATATCATGTCTAACCTCACCCGAATACCATATTCATAGTGTATCAAATATGACAACATACATTTAATATGTTAGTATTTCTTTGATATAGAACCCTACCTCTGGCTTCAGAATGTGTGCAAGTATGTACAACGATGGCTTCTGTTTACTGAAATATTGTATTTCCATAGTACATTAAATGATCATGACGTTGTAATACAATGTGTTATTTGTTATCTAGTCCTGAACTCACACCTTCCATACTAGACACAATGCTACATGCAGGTTTATCCTGTGAGATTTCCATGCCCATCCTCTGACCTCAAATGTTGAATAGTGTTGTGAGGAGAGGTGATGTGAACATCACATTGAGGTTTCACAATTGTCATCACAATAAATATTCTTTAATACTTGGAGAAAACACTTGGATCACACAGTGAGTTAACATTAAAATGGGTTTCACAAACACATCCTCAACTAAGCCACAAAATACAGCAGCAGAACTAACATGACCTACTCTTAGATGCCAACCCAGGTTTGATACAAAGTGCAAGTACGGAGTGACAACACAACATAACACTGGAGTAGACCTACAGTAGGTGGCGGGATAAACAGTCAGCTCTCCCTTTAGAAGACGGAGAGAGAAAAAGCACCTATGGGAGTAGACTCGGGTTACTTCCCGGTTCTCCACCCTTTTCCAAAAGTGTGCACTTGCACACTCCCCATCATGAATTTAAAAGGATTGGTGTAAGCATTGGCTGGAAACAGTTTCCACCAGTGTAAAATCCATACGAGAAAGTGTGCAAGTGCATCCTTCGGAAGAAGGGTGGACAATTGAGCCCTAAGTAGCTTCTGAGGGGACGTGAGTATGGGACGGACTGAAAGTGCTGGTAAGAGTTACCGTGATAGGAGCTAAGTTACACTGAATAGATCAGCTCAGAGCAGACCAGGCCAACTAGCTATCTGCTGGTCAGTCTATGCTGGCCAGCGAGGGAAGCTGGTCAATTCAGTCCACCTTCTTGGGCCTGACCCGGGTCACATGCTCCAGCTGGCCAGAGTCAGACACGTCATAGCTGGTCTTGTACTTAGCCAGGATCTTCATCAGGGGGCGAAGCTTCAACCACCATTGTTCCTTAGGGATCCTGTGGCTGATAGTGTAGAACAGGACAAAACACACGCACACACATTTTAGTCATTTAGCAGACGCTCTTATCCAGAGCGACTTACAGGAGCAATTAGGGTTAAGTGCCTTGCTCAAGGGCACATCGACAGATTTTTCACCTAGTCAGCTCGGGGATTAGAACCAGTGACCTTTCGGTTACTGGCACAACGTTCTTAACCACTAAGCTACCTGCCGCCTCAACACAGAGACCATGATGACACAAAATATACAGTTTGAAGCTTTAGTTAATGCACTCAATTTGGCATGTTACGTTTGAACAGGTGGACATTGTCAGTTAAATTGAAGGAAGAATTGTACTATGTTTTAACCTTGTGCTACTATGGTCTACACAAATGTTGTCTTACACAAAGTCTGTCTCGTCTTTGAGCTGCACCACTGGTTGGAAGACCATGGCTCTGCGACGCATCCCCAGCAAACAGGCAGTGTCCTCTGTGTTAGCAAACACCTTCCCTGCACATGGAGATAAAAAAATACAGTCAGCACACACTTATGTGAGTCCAAATTACACCCTATTCCCCTATGGGCCATGGTCAAAAGTAATGCATTATATACAGTTGAAGTCAGAAGTTTACATACACCTTAGCCAAATACATTAAAACTCAGTTTTTCACAATTCCTGACATTTAATCCTGGTAAAAATTCCCTGTTTTAGGTCAGTTAGGATCACCACTTTATTTTAAGAATGTGAAATGTCAGAATAATAGTAGAGTGATTTCTTTCAGCTTTTATTTCTTTCATCACATTCCCAGTGGGTCAGAAGTTTACATACACTCAATTAGTATTTGGTAGCATTGCCTTTAAATTGTTTAACTTGGGTCAAATGTTTCGGATAGCCTTCAACAAGCTTCCCACAATAAGTTGGGTGAATTTTGGCCCATTCCTCCTGACAGAGCTGGTGTAACTGAGTCAGGTTTGTAGGCCTCCTTGCTTGCACATGCTTTTTCAGTTCTGCCCACAAATGTTCTATAGGATTGAGGTCAGGGCTTTGTGATGGCCACTCCAATACCTTGACTTTGTTGTCCTTAAGCCATTTTGCCACAACTTTGGAAGTATGCTTGGGGTCATTGTCCATTTGGAAGACCCATTTGCGACCAAGCTTTAACTTCCTAACTGATGTCTTGAGATGTTGCTTCAATATATCCACATCATTTTCCTTCCTCATGATGCCATCTATTTTGTAAAGTGCACCAGTCCCTCCTGCAGCAAAGCACCCCCACAGCATGATGCTGCCACCCCCGTGCTTCACAGTTGGGATGGTGTTCTTCGGCTTGCAAGGTACCCCCTTTTTCCTCCAAACATAACAATGGTCATTATGGCCAAACAGTTCTATTTTTGTTTCATCAGACCAGAGGACATTTCTCCAAAAAGTACCTTTGTCCCCATGTGCAGTTGCAAACCGTAGTCTGGCTTTTTTATGGCGGTTTTGGAGCAGTGGCTTCTTCCTTGTTGAGTGGCCTTTCAGGTTATGTTGATATAGGACTCGTTTTACTGTGGATATAGATATTTTTGTACCTGTTTCCTCCAGCATCTTCACAAGGTCCTTTGCTGTTGTTCTGGGATTGATTTGCACTTTTCACCCCAAAGTACGTTCATCTCTAGGAGACAGAACGCGTCTCCTTCCTGAGCGGTATGACGGCTGCGTGGTCCCAAGGTGTTTATACTTGCATACTATTGTTTGTACAGATGAACGTGGTACCTTCAGGCGTTTGGAAATTGCTCCCAAGGATGAACCAGACTTGTGGAGGTCTACAATTTTCTTTCTGAGGTCTTGGCTGATTTCTTTTGATTTTCCCATGATGTCAAGCAAAGAGGCACTGAGTTTGAAGGTAGGCCTTGAAATACATCCACAGGCACACCTCCAATTGACTAAAATGATGTAAATTAGCCTATCAGAAACTTTTAAAGCCATGACATCATTTTCTGGAATTTTCCAAGCTGTTTAAAGGCACAGTCAATTTAGTGTATGTAAACTTCTGACCCACTGGAATTGTGATAAAGTGAAATAATCTGTCTGTAAACAATTCTTGGAAAAATTGCACCAAGTAGATGTCCTAACCGACTTGCCAAAACTATAGTTTGTTAACAAGAAATGTGTGGAGTTTTAATGACTCCAACCTAAGTGTATGTAAACTTCCGACTTCAACTGTAGGTGATAGGGTGCCATTTAGGACGTAGATTAACCAACATGCAAACTAAAGAGGCCCCAACTTTTTAGTATCATAGAAATGATTAATTAAATTCAGTACATGCACTCTACCTTCTTTATAGGACTCCTTGAGCTTTCTTGAAATCCATTGAATCGCTTTGGCTGCAATCTTCGTTCCAAAGTTCCTGTCAAATGGGGAAGGAGCACCTCCCTTTGGAAATCAAACAAATAATCTGTTTTACAGGTTCATGTCATAATAAACTGTAAGCTAATATGTGGATTACACAGCAACATGATCAATATACAGTATGCCGTCATTTAATTCACATCTGAGTGGTATCAGTTGCAATCGGGCTCCAGTGAGTGTGAGTGTGTCTGTAACGACACCTGCTGCATATGTCCAAGGACGTTCTTCCTGCAGTCAAACACTCCTTTCCCCTCCTCAGAGTACAGCTGGTAGATGAAATCTGTGGTGAAGTTCTCATTGGAGTTCTCATTCCTGTAACGTCACGCACACATACAATGTCAAGGTTCCATTTGTCCTGCTGATGCGTTACAGGGTGATTCTTCCTACTGAGTTCAGTTATACTGAGAAATATTGAGTGGCCTCTATAGAGCCTCAATAGACCATCACAAAGAGTAGAGTATTTTAACATTCAAATGAAGAGTTTTCTTAGACAATTTGTATTAATAGCCTACACAGTGTGGCATAAAGATAGTAAGACTATCATACATAGCTGGCTACGTACATGTATGGCCTTTATTGTTAACATACTGTCCGTCTGTAAAGAGACTATCATGTTAGACGTGAGCTCTGCCTTACCTCAGCACCAAGCCCCTCTGGATGCCCGTCTTCATCTTCTCTGTCAAGTGCTCGACGTTGGACTGAAGCAGAGAGAAAAGCCTCACATTAGTGAGTCTGAAGTATTCCTCCTCTATCTGTAACCTACATGAGCTTTCCGAGCTGCAGAATGAAGCTCATTCCTCTGCTGTGTCTCAGGGACAGAGTACTGCAGAGTGCTCTGGTGACCAGGAGGTGGCACACCTTACTGCTGTTCTGTTCCCTACTTAGATGAGTTGTCACCATTCACTCCAATTAATGTAGGCTACAGTATACAGCATGCAGATGGAACATATGCTAGACCACTGAATTACACCAACTCAACATTATCTTTTATTTATAATGTGTGTGCTCTTTGCAACACATGGGTAAATATCGACATCACCTTGTTCCACAATGTAGCATATATATAACATTCATTGCATTAAAGAATACATTCATTATTTCATCTGTCATTGGTCTGGTCTCAGAAGGAGCAACCTTATGTAAAACAATGTCCCTCACCTGGAGGTCTCTGATGTCGAAGGGTTCCTCATAGATGTAGACAGCATCAGCCCCCGCAGCCAGCCCCCCGACACTGGCCAGGTAGCCACAGTACCCCCCCATGGTCTCAATGATGAACACACGCCGCTTGGTCCCACTAGCAGACTGCTTGATGCGGTCACATGTCTGACACACACACAGAGATGCTCATAGTGAGATCAAATAGACACACAGGGTGCGTCCCTAATGGCACCCTATTCCCTCTTTAGTGCACTACTTTTGACCAGGGCCAATAAGGCTCTGGTCAAAAGTAGTTCACTATATAGGGAATAGGGTGCCATTTGTGACTCAACTCAATGTTAGGTTATCAATAGCATGCAGAAAATGTTGTTTTATTAGGTAGTAGCTACTGTACATGCAAAATGCTGTCTATAGGTATCAAACATGCCCACACAATTACCCAAAACATGCTCCATGTCACAATATAATACGATCATAAAAGACAAACAGTATCGCAAGATTTACCAGGACTCAGATCGAGTCTCAAAGAATTCTTCCATAACATCAAACCAGAAACGAGTTAGTAAAGGAACAGGAAGTCTATAATTCTAACTAGTAAAGCATGTTATGTTCTATGTATACACAAATGGGGTTGTTTACAGTGTGTGTGTGTGTGTGTGTGTGTGTGTGTGTGTGTGTGTGTGTATGTGGGAGAGAAATCGTGGGAAATGTCTGTCTGTTGTCAGTCTATATTCCCACAATAGTTTCACAATGTCAACTAGGGTCGCACATCTGTCCAATAAGTGAACTAGTTTTTGTTTTCGTATTTGAGCTAACACAACGCTCATAAGTATGACTTGTAGATCTCTAGGAAAGCAGACCACATAATAATACAAATCTAGTGATGACTGATAACTTCAAATGGTACAGTATAATTTCACCCCTGTTGAAAGCTGTGTTCTAGCCTGAGTGCCAGTCTGTTTGTGCTATCATGCCAACTCATTGTCATGCTTGGCTTGACAATATAATATAATATAATATACCATTTAGCAGACGCTTTTATCCAAAGCGACTTACAGTCATGTGTGCATACATTTTTACGTATGGGTGGTCCCAGGGATCGAACCCACTACCCTGGCGTTACAAGTGCCATGCTCTACCAATTGAGCTATAGAGGACCACGACACTAATGGAGTTGGCAAGAGCACAAACAGATCTGGGATCAGGCTACCTTACCTCCACGATGGCATTGAGGGAAGTGTCTGCCCCGATACTCAGATCAGTACCAGGCATATTGTTACTAATGGTGGCAGGCAGCACACACATCGGGATGCAAAAGTCCTCATGGCTGGTCCGGGCCTCATAGAGCTGCAGCAGACACTCAAACGCCTGATGAAGTGATGCGGCACAAACGCTTTAGACCACTAGGGGGAGTATCTCAGACTCAGAGAGACCTTACTACATGTTACCCTAGCCTAGTATGATCTGTGTCCCAAATGGCACCCTATTCCCTATGTAGTGCACTATGTGGCCCATAGGGCTCTGGTCAAAAGTAGTGCACTATAAAGGGAATAGGCTCTCATTTGGGAGGCAGACCATACTACATGTTACCCTACTAGGGCCTAATCTACACCCTACACCACAATATGTAGTATCTGTGTGTGTATCCTGAGGATGTCTCTTTCCGTGTGATAGAGGGGTTGGCTTGGCATCCCATTGGCAAATAGGAGACAGAAGAGGGGCGGGGTTGGTTGGTCACTCTGGCTGGCAGACAGACAGAAGTGTTGTCGTGGAAACAACAGTAGACTCAGTCAGTCACGATGCAGCCTGGCGACACTGCACTTGACCTGACGACATGAGGGAATGTTTGTACGCGAGTGGCAAAATGCTGGACGTTATTCGTCAGGTCCACTACCCATGCAGACAATCGTGTTCAAAACAAGATGGAGGTCTGGCCTGGTTCAAGACAACAATTAGATAGGCTATTACTGTTCTATGAATCATTCAATCTCCCTTTTTTTCTGAATATCAGCAACAGATTGTCAGTAAACTCACATTAAAATACTGTATTTGTTTACAACAAGTAGGTTACTTAAGTGAATTAACTTATTTATCCAATAGAGTATAGTGGCTATTCAAATGCTTTTCAGATGCTTAGTGAGAATCTAGTTTTGGTTGATGATGGAAATAAAATCAACTAGAAGGGTGAAAGTAAAATGATTGGTTAGAGAAGACAACATCTAAATGTTAGCTAGGGGTTGTGTTAAACCAGACCAGGGACCAGTCATCTCATCGTGTTTAGTACACAAGCATAGAAGGGTGGAGGTGCAGACAGAACATTGGAAGCCGCAGGGTCCAAAACATGCCACGTCACTAGTGCATGCCCCTCTCTATCACTTACCTGGGACCTAACTGACAGCTCCACTATGACATTTACCAGCAAAGATAACAGACACCAGAGGCCTCAGACTGAAAGAAGTAGCCCTAATATAGTACTACTCCCCTAATACTACTCCAACCCCTAATATAGTACTACTCCCCTAATACTACCCCTACCCCAATGGGACGACCCCGAAACGACCCCTACCCCGAAATACGACCCCGAAAGACCCCGACCCCGAAGAGACCGACCCCGAAGACGACGCCAACCCCGAAGACGACCCCGACCCGAAGACGACCCCGACCCCGAAGAGACGGACCCCGAAGACGACGCCAACCCCGAAGAGACGACCCCGAAGACGACGCCAACCCGAAGACGACCCCGACCCCGAAGAGAGGACGACCCGAAGACGACCCGACCCGAAGAGACCGACCCCGAAGACGACGCCAACCCCGAAGAGACCGACCCGAAGACGACCCAACCCCGAAGAGACCGACCCGAAACGACCACGACCCCGAAGAGACCGACCCCGAAGACGACGCCAACCCCGAATACGACCACACCCCGAAAGACTGACCCCGAAGACGACCCAACCCCGAAGAGACCGACCCCGAAACGAGCCAACCCGAAGACGACCACACCCCGAAGAGACCGACCCCGAAGACGACCCCGACCCCGAACGTACGAACCCCAAGACGACCCACCCGAAGAACGGACCCCGAAGACGACGCCAACCCCAGAAGAGACCGACCCGAAGACGACGCCAACCCCGAAGACGACCACACCCCGAAGAGACCGACCCGAAGACTACGCCAACCCCGAAAGACCGACCCGAAGAGACCGACCCCGAAGACACCCGACCCCGAAGACGACGCCAACCCCGAAGACGAACCCGACCCCGAAGAGACCGACCCCGAAGACGACGGCAACCCCGAAGAGACCGACCCCGAAGACGACCCAACCCCGAAGACGACGCCAACCCCGAAGACGACGCCAACCCCGAAGAGACCGACCCCGAAGACGACGCAACCCCGAAACGACGCCAACCCGAAGAAAACCGACCCCGAAGACGACGAACCCCGAAGACACCGACCCGAGACAAGACCGACCCCGAAGACGACGCCAACCCCGAATAGACACCCCACCCCGAAGAGACCGACCCCGAAGACGACGCCAACCCCGAAGAGACCGACCCCGAAGACGACCCGACCCCGAAGGACCGACGCCGAAGACGACGCCAACCCCGAAGAGACCGACCCGAAGACGACCCCGAGCCCGAAGAGACCGACCCCGAAGACGACGCCAACCCCGAAGAACCGACCCGTAAGACACCCCGACCCAAGACCGACCCCGAAGACGACGCCAACCCGAAGAGACGACCCCTAAGACGACCCCGACCCGAAGAGACCGACCCCGAAGACACCCGAAGACGACGCCAACCCCGAAGACGACGCCAACCCCGAAGACGACGCCAACCCCGAAGAGGACGCCAACCCCGAAGTAGACGGACCCCGAAGACGACCCCGACCCCGAAGAGACCGACCCCTAATACACGCCAACCCCGAAGTAACCGACCCCGAATACTACTCCAACCCCGAAGACACGCCAACCCCTAATATACCTACCCCTAATACTACTCCAACCCCTAATACTACTCCAACCCTAATATACCTATCCCTAATACTACTCCAACCCCTAATATACCTACCCCTAATACTACCCCTACCCCTAATACTACTCCAACCCCTAATATACCTACCCCTAATACTACCCCTACCCCTAATATACCTACCCCTAATACTACTCCAACCCCTAATATACAGTGCCTTCAGAAAGTATTCACACCCCCCCTTTTTCCATATTTTGTTGTGTTAGCCTGAATTTAAAATTGATTCAATGTAGATGTTTTTGTCACTGATCTACACACAATACCCCATCATGTCAAAGTGGAATTATGTTTAAAATCTGAAATGTCTTGAGTCAATAAGTATTCAACCCCTTTGTTATAGCAAGTCTAAGTAAGTAAAAGGCTTAACAAGTCGAATAATAAGTTGCATGGACTCACTCTGTGTGCAATAATAGTGTTTAACATGATTTTTGAATGACTACCTCGTCTCTGTACCCCACACATACAATTATCTGTAAGGTCCCTAAGTCGAGCAGTGATTTTCAAATACAGATTTGACCACAAAGACCAGGGAGGTTTTCCAATGCCTCGCAAAGAAGGGCACCTATTGGTAGATCAAATGGTAAAACAAATGTTTGGGACATTGAATATCCCTTTGAGCATGTTGAAGTTATTAATTACACTTTGGATGGTGTATCAATACAC